GTGTTGGATAGAAAATAGTAAATGGTGGTCAAAATTAGACCTGACATGAAAGTATAAAATCCCTCACCCGAAAAATTGCTCACATAGGCCGTGTCAGGCTTCCTAGCTGAGGTTATCGGGATCAGCATAATCAATGGTTAGAAATAATGAGTGATGTGGCTGTGTCGTAAACAATGGCGATCGTGCATCTACTCATTAGCACTGCAACCTCAGGCTCCATGAATTCCTAATGTTCACTCTGACAGCGGTTTAAACATTTCAATCTTCCCTTTATTCCTTCATCGAAATGGAAAGTCACGAAACAGCAACCTAAACCGGCGCACAGAAGTGCTTCGTTAATGGTTGTTAACACTGAAAACAGACTAACTGTTGACATGTTAGGGTGGCAGTCTTGCAAAGATCCTCGCTAGCGGTGGCTGATCGCGATATGATCAGTTTGGGTCTATCGTTATGAGGAAGTTGGCGATTTCGTATGAAGCGGAGTCGCTTTTTATGTGGGAGAGGTTAGCGCTTAACAGGAATAATCGGTGATCCGTGTAGAGTTGAATCGGACGATCTCCGTTTTTCGTCCTGTTGACTGGGATCGCGTGGGCGCCTCCTAGACACCTTCCTAATTCTCCTATGGATCATACTTGAGTATTTAAGTCTCCGGGGACTACTACAGTGTCCGTGGATAGAACACCTTGGATAAGTTGAGCAAGATCCCTGTAGAATTCATCCTTCATTCGGCGCATACACGGACACGACTAATAAACACGCTTCGTCTTGTAGCTGTCGACCCGTAATGAATCGTCGAGGCAGCTGCTAAATGGAACAATGCGTGGTCCGTGCAGAGTTCAAGTAGTCGATCTCCGTTATCCGTCCGGTTGGCTGGGATTGCATGTGGTCCGCCAAGAAGCCTTTCTGATTCGTCCAGGGATCCCACTTGAGCACTGAAGTCTCCAGCGACTACTACGATGTCCGTTGACTGAGCACTTTGGAGTAGTTGAGAAAGATCCTTGTAGAGTTCATCTATCATTTCAGGTGCACTGCAATCGGTCGGTGCATACGCCGATACGACGAATAAGCATCGTTGCTATGTAGTACGTTGATTAGTTTTGTGCCACAGTTAGGTAGTCGGACTTCGGACAGACAACGGATGTCTACCTTGTAGTCATGCAGTGATCGCATCGTGATACACTGGCTTCCTGTGTCTAGCAATGTTCTAACATTCCAACAAGCTACATGGATGCTGGATCTGGTGCATAGATGATTTAGGTTCCCAGCTTGCTCATTTGTCACCCCAGCTACTGGGAGAGCGCAGGGCGCGTCGCTTCCCGGGAACGCCGTAGCATGAACGTGATGTAC